AAGAGGAAAGAAAACTATATACCTAGTCCATCTATTTTTAGGTTTATGAGCTTCATTAAATCTAAGTTTGTGTCATCACAGTTTCAAAATCTTAAGGTGATAATCTTTGATACTGAGCAGCTTGTTCTAAGAATGATGGTGAGAAGACCTGGTTGAAGAAATCCTACCTATTTATAGAAAGGTGACACCATTGGCATACAGTAAATCTCAGCTATAATTATTTTCTTATCTATAAGAAGTACTTTTGCTTGATATATCAAAACTCTTAAACAGTTAATTCACCCAAACTCTGATAATCCAGTTTCAAAAGTGATGAATGTAGCAGAATGAAAGAGTGAAGAGGTGGAGATTAAATCAGCCGCATAGAAAAACATGCATTTGTATTATCATCCCAATAAACCCTTTATCCTAACTTGTCTTTACTTTTTTATATATTTTCATAATCAACTTGAAAAAAATAGTACAGAAAATGATCTGGAGAATTGCTAAATGCTGTTCCTAATTTGAGAGCCCTTGTCTGATTTACCCTCGTTCACAAAATAAAATACTTAGAGCAAATATTTTTACTCTTTTTAGAGAAGAGCTTAAAATCACAATGGCAATTGCTACTTCAACTTTCTACCTCCCTGAGCTTGTGGACCCTGTTCCCTGCCTTCCCAACATTGTTTCCCAGCCTTAGATGATTCCTTTGGTCTCATTTGCTTTCTTCGATCTCTTGTCCACTGACAAGGATAGGATATAATGAAATTAAAACCTTAAGCAAGTAAAAATGATGCAGATGCCTAATGTCAACATCAGTCCAGGAGGTAATCGATGAGCTGTCTGATGTCAAAGTCATTAGTTAGATATCAAAAGGGTAGATGTCAAAAGTTCTGCACAGGGCATAGAAGGACTAAAAAGCTAAATCAAAGCAAACAAAGCAACATAAAATGGTAATTCAAGGAGGAGATTCTGGCAATACAAAAATTTTGGCAAATGGTATTTAATTAATAATACTAATAACAGTGACACATACTATTAAGTGCCTAGTAAGTGCCAGGAACTGTTAGGCATTTTAGATCATTAGATGATTTAATCCCTTCATTAGCTCTATGAGACAGGAATTATTATTCTAACATTAAACAGGAGGAAAATGAAACATGGAGAGATGAAGAAACTTATTCAAGGTCACACAGCTATTAAATGAGAAAGACAGAAATCAAACTCATTTCTGTCAGACTCAAAGGCCTATTTTTCTTAACACCATACAAAATCCTTTCCTTACTTTTCTTACCACTAGTGTAATGTGTCTCTTTTTAAAGATTTATCAGTGTATTTCTCAGAAAATGTTACTGTCCATCGTAAAGGTAGGTTCAAAACCCTCAGCTTAGCTGGACTCTTGATCCAGGTCTCTTCAAACCAGCTTAGTCCCATTGGCAACTGTTTTTCTGGTGTTGTTGTTTGTTTGATTGATGTTGCTTTCAGTTTTTTGCTCAGAGGCTAATCCCAAATCCATACCCACATTAGCCAGTGCCATTTGCTCAGTGCATTGATTGTTCCTATTTCCCCACTTTCTGGATCCCTTCAGAATCTTTGTAGTGTGCAAATTCTGGACCAGTTGTTTACGATGACAGTATGTAAAGACTTGGAGCATCTGCCAGCTGTCTGCTAGATGGCTGAACTCTAGTGAATGACCACTGTCCTATGGGCTATGGAGGAGCAGCCAAATACTTCTCTGAATTCAGAAGCTCTTGCAGAATTTCACATAGTGAAAGCCTGGGACTCAACTCATTTCCAGAAGATGCAAAATCTTAATGATAATAATAATAATCACAATAATATATAACATTTACCAAGTACTCTGAGTGCTTACTATGTGCCCAGCACTGCTCCAAGTACTTTAGCGGTGTATTATTTAATTTTCACAACAACTGAAGAGGTAGATATTATTAGCCCCATTTCACAAGTGAAGAAACTAAATCACAGAAAAATTAAGTTACCCAAGTCCACACAGCCAGAAAATAGTAGAGCAGGGATTTGAACCCTGACAATCTGATTTCACAGTTCCTGACTATTATCTGTGCCATATTCTGGTTAGGCAGAAATTTGGGTTTTGTTACTATTTATTTGTAACATAAAAAGGAGCCAAAACTCAAAGCATCAGGAAAAGCAAAAGGCCTCTTACAGAAGCCTGGTTAATTCATAGTGAGAAAGAAAATAATAGTAACAACCAGTTCATATTGAGTTCCTCCTCTGTGCTATTTACATACAACCTGTCATGTAATCTCACAATAACCTATAGGATAGGTCTTCATATTAACTCCAGTTGGAAGAGAAAGAAATCCAGATTTCAAAATAAGTATGTAGTCCAAGAACACTTATTAAAAGACAAAGACTGTATCAGATACCTAATAACACAGTAATGCTGCACAACAAATCACACTAAAATCTACAGGCTTAAAACAACCACCATTATTCAGATTGACACTTTTGCTTGGTTTAGCTGGGCACTTCCTCTGTTCTTTCTAGGAATCCTCATGCATCTGAGGTCAGCTATGGGTCAAGTAGGCAGTTTTGCTGATCTTTACTGGGCTGTCTCATTTCTGGGGCTCAACTAAAACAACTGAGCTGACTCCACTCTTTCTTACATAGTAGAGACAGGATATCCCTAGAAAGTACACAGATATATGCAAGATCTCTTGAGGGCGCTGCTTAGAACTGGCACAGTATGACTTCTACCACTTTCCGTTAGTCAAAGCAAGTCACAATGCCAGCTTAGCTTCTAGAGTTGAAAAATAGATGGGAAGAGCTACAAAATCATATTGTAACGGGTACATAACCACAAGGGCATAAAAATTGTGGCCATTTTTATAATTATCTACCACACAGAAAATCTAATCAATTTCTGACTAACTCCAGAGTTCTTATTACTATAAAAAACTACTTCCAATACAAAATTCAAGTTTGCATGCCCTTAAATAGCACATTCAGGAAGTACATTTATGTATCTATTCTCTCAACACTTATAAATATTTCACTCTGCTGCTATCTTCTTGCTTGGATTATTTCTGAGGATAAATCAGATGTAATTCTTCTCTTTGCTTCTCTATAGGTATTTTTTTAATGTAGCTTCTTTCAAGATTTTCTTCTTTATCTTTGATTTTCTGCAGTTTGAATATGATATCCCTAGATATAATTATTTTGGCATTCTTGGTGTTCTCTGAGCTTCCTGGATCTGCTGTCTGGTATCTGACATTAATTTGGGAAAATTCTCAATCATTATTGTTCCAAATATTTCTTCTGTTCCTTTTTCTATTTCTTTTCATTCTTATATTCCCATTACAAGTATGTTACAGCTTTTGTAGTTGTCCCACAGTTCTTGGATATTCTGTTCTGTCTTATTATAGTTGTTTTTCTTTTTGCTTTTCAGTTTGGGAAGTTTCCATTAATGTATCTTCAAGCTCAGAGATTCTTATCTTAGCCATGTCCAGTCTACTAATAAGCCTATCAAAGGCATTTCATCTATGTTATAATGTTTCAGATCTCTAGCATTTCTTTTTGATTCTTTCTTAGAATTCCCATCTCTCTGCTGACATACTCATCTGTTTTTTTATTTGACACATAATAGCTGTTGATATTTATGGGGTTCACAGTGATATTTCAATATATACAATGTATAGTGGTCAAACCAGGGTTATTAGCATATCCATCACCTCAAACATCTATCATGTCTTTATATTGAAAACATTCAAAATCCTCTCTTCTAGCTATTCAAAAATGTGTGATAAATTACTGTTAACTATAGATACCCTACATTGCTATAGAACACTAGGACTTATTCCTCCTATCTACCCATAATTTTGCATTCTTTAACCAATCATCCTCTCCCTATCCCCCCCTCCTGTCACCCTCCCTAACCTCTAGCAACCATTATTGTACTCTCTACTTCTATGACATCAACTTTTATACCTTCCATGTGAGTGAGAATGTGCGGTATTTCTCTTTCTGTTCCTGGCTTATTTGATTTAAAATAATGTTCTCCATGCTCATCCATGTTGGCAGGAATAAAAGGGTTTCATTCTTTTCTGTCACTAAATAGTTCCTTGTGAACATATACTGCATTTTCTTTATTCATCCATCTGTTGATGGACAATTAAGTTGATTCCATATCTTGGCTATTATAAAGAGTGCTGCAATAAACATGGGGGTGTAGACATCTCTTCAACATACTGATTTCCTTTCCTTTGGACATACACACAGTAACGGGATGCTGGATCATACTGTAGTTTTAGTAGTAGTTTTTGAGAAACCTCCATACTGTTCTCCATAGGGGCTGTACTAGTTTTACATTTCCACCAGCAGTGTATAGGAGTTACCTTTTCTCTGCATCACCAGCATTTGTTACTTTTTGTCTTATTGATAATGTCATTCTAACTGAGAATGAGGGGTGAGATGATACCTCATTGTGGTTTTGTTGCCTATCTGTTCTTTAATGTTGTATACTTTTTAATTAGAGCCCTTAGTATATTAATCATAGTTGTTTTAAATTCTCAGACTAATTCTAACATACCTGTTTTGTCTGAGTCTGGTTCTGAGGCTTGCTCTGTCTCTTCAAAGTGTATGTTTTACCTTTTAGTATGCCTTGTAACATTTTGCTAAAAGCCAGACATGACAGACTGTGTAAAAAGAAGTCCAGTAAATAGGCCTTTAGTGATGTAGTGGTAAGGTGTGTGGAGAGGGGAAATGTTCTATAGTTCTGGGATTAGGTGTCAGTCTGTTAGCGAGCTTTCCCCTGGGCTGTGAACTTCATAAACATTTTTCAATTTCACTGACACTGCCCCCCTTAGGTGGGACAGGATGGCTGCATGGGGCTGGAGTTAAGTATTTTCTTTCCCCCAGGTCAGTTAGGCTCTGAAAAATCTAATAGGTTAGGTTCCTAGTAACATAGCTTTTCTTGAGGGCAGGCTTTGTTAAGAACAAAATGTTCTAGAATATTTCAAAATGATCCCCGCCCACCCCACCAGAAGCATTAGGGAAAATTTTCCTCTGATAGTCACTGCGAGATCCTGGTAAAGCTCCAAAGGTAAAACTCTCAAAAAGTGTGGGGTCTTCCTATGACTTGGCCCCCTGAAATTCTTAACTCTCAGCCTTATCTACACTGAGCCTCTAGCAATTCATCAATTATAGTTCAGGTTTTCCTACCCCAGTACTGCTTACAAGGAGGTTTTTGCTCATGGTTTTCTGCTCTGGTAAGTCGTGATGATCTGTGTTTGCCTGTGGGTCTCTCCAATTTGTGGGGCAGTGTCTTTCTCTGGGGCATCATTTCTCTGACAGATCTAAGAAGAGTTTGTTGATTTTTCAGTTTGTTCTGCTTACTGATGTTAGGATGGAGTGACAATTTGTAAGCTTTTTACATGCCAGAGTAGAAACTAAATGTCCCAGAATGGAAACCAGAAGTTATCCTTTCAACAAATGTTTATTAAGTTCTTACTTTATACAAGTATCTAGTAAGTTAGATTATCTTCCCATTAGCTTGTTGGAGGAAAATGGAAAATGAGAGGTAGAAAGCTAATGGCAGCTTCAAACAGGAAAGACTCCAATTTTGCAAGAATGAATCTGAGAGTGTTTTTTGTGGACTTTGAATGCTATCTGGAGAGATCACCTGCCTCTAGAAAGGAAGTGAAACTTGAGACAATTTTTACTAACCGGTAGTTATCCCAGGTATTTGTAGTAACTACACTAGCATATTCAGTAGAAATCTAGGAAAGCCAAAATTCCTTGAGGCCTAAACAAAGAAGCAACAAAAATCTCATAGTATTTCCAGTTTTTTCCTCCTGTCTCAGCTTCTGTGTGTACTGAGCACTGAACTGTTTCACATTTGCACTCATTTTAACTTAAGTTTCATGTTCAGAAAGAGCCACAGACAGGACAGCCCCAAAATGCACCATACTGACTGATATTTGGGTTTTAACATTATCAAATTCTCCAATCTTCTTGTGGCCTTGAATGTCTCAATGTGGACTACCTATTCCTCAAGTATCACCCAAAACTATTTCCTCAGCCTTGATTACAATGAAAAGTAAAGCAGAAGGATAATTTTGCTTGGCTCCTTTCCATTTTGCTCTTTTTTCATTATTATTATCATTATTATTATTATTTATGTTTTCAATGAAGAATTCTGCAAAAGAGAAGTCAGGCTATGAGAAAACAATCTCTTGAAACTCAAATAATAAAAAAGTAACCAATGAAAGATATGCAAAAATAAACTAGCCAAGGAAATAGCTAATTTTACATCAAACTGCTTGTCTCTTAAGTTAGTGCAAAGGCTGCTTTAGCTGACAAATATCTTCCTTCAAGGAAAGGAACATTTGTTTCAGGTGATGTTCTTATTCCTAGAGGAAAAGGAAAAGTAAATTCTGAAGTGAAGGATATCCTGGGGAAATAGTTTGGCAAATGATATGACATTTTCCTGCTCTTGTTTAATATCATAAAGGAATAAATATGTGACATGGAACCAAGTAAAAGAAAAGGTTTTTGGAATAATAGGTTGTGAGATCAGAATAGTTCCTCAGAGATCAGCAGGTCCAACTTCCTTATTTTCCTGATGAGATTTGAGACCTAGAGAAGTAAATTTCATTGCCCAAAGTAACTCAGATGGTTAGTAGCAAAATTGAAGCTATAGCCAAAACTTAAAAATCCCAATTCAGCATCCTTTCTAATCAATTTTACAAGACTCAAAGAATTTTCTACCAAAGGCTGCCTCTATCTGTCCATGAGTTTATATATCTTCTACAAGATAAAGGCCAAATTCCACTCTCTAGCAAAAAGATGATATGTGAAGCTTTGGTACATGGGTGTCACCTAAGGAGATTCAAGGCAGGTTTAAGAGTATGGTGAATTTCAATGGAAAAATATTTCCTTCTTATCTTCACTGATCTATGAATGAGATTGAGCATCCCTCAATTACAAATGTAGGCAATAAATCATGGTAGTATTAGTAGTTCCTTTGACTTTGTCACTATATAAATCAATATTTACTCTACAACTTCTGTATACTTTTCAAAATTCTGAAATCTCATTTTTTTATTTCAAAAAATTTAGGGACATAAGTGTTTCTTTTGTTACAAGGATAAATTGTTTCATGCCGAAGTCAGGGCTTTCAGTGTACCCGTCACCAGAAGAGTGTACATTGTACTCAATTGGTAGATTTTTATGCCTCATACCATCCCCCCTTCTTAGTTTCCAATGTCCATTATTGCCCTTTATGACCATATATATCCTTCATTTACCTCCCACTTGTAAATGAGAACATGAGGTATGTTTTTCCATTCCTGAGATACTTCAGTTAGAATAATGATCTCCAGTTCCATCCAAGTTGCCACAATGACATTATTTCTTGCCTTTTTATGGCTGATTAGTCCTCTATGGTATATATTTATACCACATTTTCTTTACCTACTCATCAGTTGATTCTACATCTTTGCAGTTGTGAATTGTGCTGCAATAAATATTCAGGTGCAGGTATCTTTTTGATAAAATGATTTCTTTTCCTTTGGGTAGATACCTAGAAATAGGATTGCTGGATAAACTGCTAAGTCTACTTTTAGTTCTTTGAGGAATTCCATACTGCTTTCCATAGCAGTTATACAAGTTTACATTGCCACCAATAGTGTATAAGCATTACCTTTTCACTGCAACTGTGCCAACATCTATTGTTTTAAGACTTTTTAATAATGTATATTCTGACAGGGGTGAAGTGGTATCTTGTAGTTTAACTTGCATTTTCCTAATAACTAGTGATGTTGAGCATTTTATCATATTTTTTGGCCATTTGTCTATCTGCTTTTGAGGAATCTGTTCGTGTCTTTTGCCTACTTCTCAATGGTGTTATTTGTTTTTTTCTTGCTGATTTATTTGAGTTATTTGTAGATTCTAGATATTAGCCCTTTGTTGGATGCATAGTTCGTGAATATTTTCTCTCACCCTGTAGGTTGTCTATTTAGTCTGTTGATTATTTCCTTTGTTGTGCAGAAACTTTTTAGTTTAGTTAACTCCCATTTAATTTATTTTTGTTGTTGCTGTATTTGCTTTTGGAGTCTAACTCATAAATTCTTTGCCTAGATCAACATCAAGAAGAGGTTTTCCCACACTTTCTTCTAGAATTTTTTATGGTTTCAGGTGTTACATTTAAATTTTTAATCCATCTTGAGTTAATTTTTGTAAATGGTGAGAGACAGGGATCCAGTTTCATTCTTCTGCATTTCTATATACTAATAACAGTCAAGCTGAGAGTCAAATCAAGAATTCAATACCATTTACACTAGCTACACAGAAAACAAAACACCTATGAGTGTACTTAACCAAGGAGGTGAAAGATCTCTACAAGGAGAACAACAAAACACTGCTGAAGGGAATCATAGATGACAAAAACAAATGGAAAAACATCCCATACTCACAGATTGGAAGAATCAACATTGTTAAAATGTCCATACTGCCCAAAGTGATTTACAGATGTAATACAATTTCCATCAAAATTCCAATGTTATTTCTCACAGATCTAGAAAAAATAATCCTAAACTTCATATGGAACCAAAAAAGACCCAAAGCAATCCTAAGGAAAAAGAACAAATCTGGAGGCACCACATACCCTGACTTCAAATTATACTACAAGGCTATAGGAACCAAAACAGCATGGTTACAGTATAAAGGCAGACACATAGACCAATGGAACAGAATAGAGAACCCAGAAACAAAACCAAATATTTTTGACAAAGCAGACAAAAACATATGCTGAGGAAAGGATGCCCTATTCAATAAGTGGTGCTGGGAAAACTGGATAACTTTTGTACATTTTGAAACATCATTTATGTTCATAATGATTTTGAAATTTTCATACTTATGAGGCCTACTCGTAGACATTATTATTTATTGCCTTCGTAAGAAGGTACATACATTGCTATTTCAAAAATATGTTTTTAAATATTTGGTCATTGGTTTTCTTAGTAACTGTGTATATTTTATTTTGTGGCAGGCCTTGAAGAGGCAAAGGTCTTCTGCATCACAGGATACCTAGGAACACTTCAGGGTCTAATTATTTCTCTGCTTTACAAGAGGCCCAGGAGCCACATGGCCAGGGAAAACAAACACCTTAAAACATATCCACAAGTGAGAAATAGACAAAGATGTGATCCCCTGAGATAAAATCTCTATGAGGAATTAGGAAGTCTGCTGGAATGAGCCAGATTCAACAAGGCAGGAATGTTAGGGTGGAAGGTAGGACTTATGTGTTCAAGTTAAGACTGTGCTTGTGGGCTCCTCCTGTGCAGCTCTCCCTGCTCCCCTCCTCATCTCTCTCTAACTTGTGCAGTTTTATTCTAATTCCACACCGTCACATAACTTTAGTCACAATATTTTATGAGTCAGTTTCTCTAGCAATAATAGCCTATTTACTAGATGCAACAGGGATACACACTCACACTCCTTCCCCCAACTCTAATTCCCACAGTGACTTCCATCCTTCATCCATGCAGGAGTGACAGTAGCAAGTCTAAACCAATTGTTATTCACTTAATAATTAGGCATCCAGAGAGACTCTAATGTTTACAAATGTCCAGGATTATAAATGGAATGTTTAATCTCCTTAGCTGCTGGGATGCCTGATTGACTGGAAGAGTAGTGGCTTTTATTTCTAAAACATTTGTGTGGTAAGGCAAAGTTACAGCATCCCTGAGAGAGTTACCGCCTATAACATGCAGTCTGGATAGTTGTCTCATCTGCCTTGTGGCACAGTTTTCCCACAGCTACCTTTTCCCTTTCCCACAGGCTGTTGTCAAAGACCCCCACAGGGAGATGCTAAGGGGCCCAGGCATCTAATCATTCTCAAACCCATAGTCTGAACACTTTCCTTCCCTTAGGGTTCTACTGTGAAACACAAAATTCTAATCTCTAGTAAATAATAGTATTGGGACAATAATGTTTATAGTCTTCAGTGTCAAAGTGGAGCCACCATCTTTCTAGCCAAGGCAGACAGGAAAATACAAGTTTGAATTTTAATAATATATTTTGCTACAAATTACATGATAT